CCAGCTGCTGCAACCTGTCTCCGTTCTTCTTCTCCTCCTCTTCTCCTCTGTCTTTCTTCTCCATCCCTGCTTCCAGCCCTGCCACCGAGGATCATGCCCTATAGTGCGGCGGTTCCCAAGCTGGGATCTAGAGACCTCAAGCGGTCCACGATAAAGCTCTGGCAGGCTTTATTAAAACGAGAATTTAAAAAATTGAGTTTGGCGTAAGGGTAATACTACCGCACCCACAAACCCAGCAGTGCGTGTTTTAACCTTAAATTAAAGGGAAAATCTCATCCGATGGGAGATTGTGACACAAAATCTTAAGGGTTTAAACGCTTATTTGGGGATATTTTGTGATTTATAGTGTACTTGTTCTTCCACTAGTGTTCTTTTCCCCCTGCCATCAGAATGTAAAATGTTTATAAAATGGTGCTTTGTATGACATGTGTAGTGTCTCTATGGTGTTTTGTGAGTCCACAGTCTCTCTTTGATATTCTCAGTAATGGGGGTGGACAGACCTATAATAAGTGTGAAATTATCATTCAAGAAATAATCTGAGCCTGCTACCTTTTTAAGGCTTACAATATTGCTTCAACGCCATGGTCATTTTAGAATTCACTGTTTGTGCTGCTGTTGATTGCAGTTTATACACCATTCATGTAAGGCCATACAGTAGGACACTACTGCGTACAACGGCAACAATATGTCTGTTATTATGTCCAAGAGATGGACACAATTAGGAGTAGAATATATAATAACAGATTCACAGTAGGGCATGTAAAAAAAGATCTTCAAAACAACACACATGAGTATAATGAACAGCTGTCTAGCACAACTTTAAAAATGCATTGCAAGGCTGTTGCTTTAATTGCTTTTTCTGGGTAATATATTAATTTCTATAAAATTAATTATCAAATGCTTAATTCTTTTCTCTGTAAAACAGACTATTAAAACACTGAGGTGTATTGGATGCAGAACCAGCGAAACATCATGTTAGACAAAGCGACTAGCAGTCATTAGTGCTGAAATCATAACAGACTGAAATGGGATTCAGTTTGTGTGTCTCGAATGGTGTTCCCTGCAGGGTCTTAACAGAGGTTTCAAGGCCTGTGGTGAGTGTGTGCATGTGTGTGTGTGTGTGTGTGTGTGTGTGCGCCTGGCATTACTCACATTGTGGGGACCTAAACCTGTTTTCACACACACACACACTGTGGGGATTTGAGCTTCCTTGTGGAGACCAGATACTGGTCCCCACCATGTCAATCCTTAAATTATAAACCGAGGACTTAGTTTAAGGTTAGGGTTAGGCACGTAGCGGTTAAGGTAAGTCTCCAGAAAATGAAGTCAATTTAAAGTCCCCATGAGGAATGAAAACAAATATGTGTGTGTGTGTGCGCACGTGTGTGTTCCTACTCCTAATCCAGTCTCCTGGGACCTCCGTATCCGGTTGATGGTCTTCTTAGCAGGCATGCTGGATGGGATTGGTGGTAAGGCCTTTTATAATCCTCCCCTCATCTGGTGGCCTGTAAAAGAGCTGCCCCTCAAAACCCAAAGCGTGATTGTGTGTCTGTGTGTGCGTTATTGTAACAATGCTTAATAATGAGTCACAAAGAAACCAACTAATTAACTTTATTTTTTCCCCCATTTACTGTCTTCTCTCTTTGCTGACTTTATTTTGGTCAGAGACGTCAGTAAAAGAAAAGCAGACACACAGGAAACGTAAATTTGATATTTGAGAGCCCACAAGGCTGGTGCTGCAAGACACTGGAGCCTTCAAGGCCATAAAAAAGCGATATTTCCTCAAATAAGCAGTCATATAGTCCCAGTCTCTCTCTCCGTGACACACATACGCATGTGCACAAACACACACGCACACAGTGTTAATGGCTTCATAATTGTCTGAGACAGACCACTGAGCATAATCAGGAGACTGCAGCAAGGCAAAGACCAATATTTGTAATTTACTATGACAGATAGTACATTTTTATTACCCAGGGGCTGCTGGTTTGTTTTGGGACACGATCATCCATACTCGTTCATGTACAGCTTACCTCTCTCAGTTCACAGACTTACTTACACTCACCCCACTCTTTCTTTCTTTCTTCCTTTCTTTCCCCCCACCCCCAGGGGACATTACCTTAATTTCATTTCATTTCTTGGAGACTTACCTTAACCATAACCACTGCTTGCTCACCCTAAGCTTAAATAAAGTAATCACTCTAAAATGTAACAATTTACATTTTGGGGACTTGATTTTTGTCCAAATAAGGATGTCGAGTCCCCAGAATGTGACTGAAAATTTACATCCCTACAGCATGAGTAACACCAGGCCAGGGCGCGCACACACACACACACACACACACACACACACACACACAGTGGTTCAACCCCAGAGAGTATGTGACCCGGGGGTCAGGAACATTACACCAAACAGGCAGACACTGAGTCGGAGCAAAGTTCAGTTCATTACAGGAAAATCACAGACACGTGCACGGACACACATGCATGCACTCAAACAAGCACACACACACAGTCACTCATTATCACTCTGCAACATGAAAAATACAGTATCTCTCAACTGTTTGGTTTGGGGTGAGATCCACAAGTGTTTGCTACTGTCACATTAACTGTGGGTGTTTTTTGAAATGATGCAGCAAACTTAGATATTTAATCTTTTTTATTTGACATATTCTTCTTCCTTGCCAAAGTCTGCTGCCTACATTACCCACACTGTAACTTGACAGTTGACAGCTTCATCTGAGATTCTGGTATGTTGTTTTAGTAGAGGTTAATGTAGCCCTGAGCTGCTAAGCAGAGATAAGGATACTACAGAGGTCTGGTAACCTCACTTGTTTTTAACTTCACAACCCCCAGAGTTTTTTGTTTGTTTGATTTTTGTTGTTTTTTTTTGTTTTTTTTTCTGGCTTGTAGTCTTTAGACACCAACTCTGACTCAAGTCATGTCACTTACAATAAGTGATCTGATTTCACACAGCTGCCCCTGGAGTCACGAGGCTTTTATCACATGTCCGGGTGTGCTCCCAACACCTGTCAAGGGTTAATATGTTCTTTCACATATACTGCATACTATATGTATTTTTCAGAGACAATAGGTGCATACCCTGTGCGTGCATACGTTTGTGCCATTGACATTACATCATTTAACTCCCATTCATTTAAGGTTTGCAGCACTTAAAGTAACTAATGTTACAGTAACGTGTGCAGATGACCAATACAAATCCATTCTGTCTCAGAGTAATGGCTTTGAATGTTTAAGGTATCAAATTACTCTGATAAACACATTAAATCACTATAAGTGGGAGCAGCATTTATAATTAAAAGCTCATTTGTACAACATGCACAGACACTGTATGAATCACCAGAATGAGTCCCTCATTCACCTCTGATTCAGTAAACCTGGCCTGTTTACAGTAGTCACATGACATATTATAAAATGTTTCCTGTGTGGAGCTTTGAGAGAGAATTACTCATATCTAAAACACTGATTTAGCAGTCATATGCCATTAGAACAACACACTTAAATTATTAAATTGAGTGGTTTTTGCACTCTGAGAAAGAACTTTAAAATGTCAGTGATTCATGCTCTAATTGGAGTGGAAGGATGTTTATGTTGCTCAGTAGTCAGTTTGTAGGATTGGGAATGGGGAAGCTGGCAATCAGGATGGAGAAACTCTGTGTGTGTGTGTGTGTGTGTGTGTGTGTCAGTGTTAACAAGAGAGACAAATAGGACACACAGATAGGAATAGAGAGAGAGAGAGAGAGAGAGAGAGAGAAGCAGGTGCATCACTAATGGCTTTTTAAAAAGGTTACAGCGTAGAGCTCTTCTTTTCTAATGGGGCTCCGGCTGTGCTTGAGAAGCAATTTCCGGAAAAGATAATGTTGTCGAGAGAGAGCAGAGAGTTCTCTGTTTATGTGTGTGTGTGTGTGTGTGTGTGTGTGTGTGTGTGTGTGTGTCTTGTCATTAACAAGACTAACAAACACAAACTCAAAAGAACACAAAGAGGGGGCGGGAAGAGACTGGGGCAAGAGAGAGCGATAGAAAGAGAGAGAGAAATTGCCTATGTCTACATTTCAAAGTAATTGTGCCATTACATTTATTAGCTTGATGACTAACGCCTAATGTGGGCCAGTGGAGGAATCCAGTAAAAGACATATTTAAAAATTCTCTTTCTGTTTTAGCATATTTTTACATTCCTAATGTACTTTTGATTTCACACACATTAAAACTGGTGAATTCTGATAACTTGTGTCTCAGCTTTCCCTTCTTCACGTAAGCATGGTAAACACTGCCACCCTGTGACCAGTGCTGCCTACTACAACATTTTGAACTGAGCTGGCAACCCATTTCTGCTGTCCACAGTAGCTTGTCACGTTAAATGTTGTAATAGTACATTTTGTACCAAGCTTTCTGTCACCAAACGAATTGGAAATGTGCTCCTTTGATACTAGACTGAGTCAGAACAATTTCTACACACACGACCACATTCATCTTCATCCATGGCTTTCACCCAGCCGGCCACTGAGGGGCAGTACGTTCCCATTACTGTGTGCCAATTCCACACCACACATTATCTCTTGTACTACTACGCTGATGCATACTGGATCTGCTTGGTGTTTTAATGTGCAGTAGATTTTTTTAATTGTACAATTTGTTATACTTTATTAATCCCTGTGGGGAAATTTCTTACTAATGGTCACTGCCTGGCCATCAGGGGCAACTAGGGGTTTAGTGTCTTGCCCAAGGACACTTCAATATGTGGACTAGGGAGAACGGGAATCGAACTACCAATTGGGAAACAACTGCTCTACCTCCTGAGCCACTGCTGCCTCATTGTGCCCATATTGTGCCATGATCTGATGATGCAGTGCACAAAGAAAACTAGAAAAAAACTATTCATATTTATTAACCGTCCGTGACATCCAAGGTGGGTTGGTTCAGTCACTCCCTCTGAGTTTCCTGTGAACAAACTGCAAAATCTACAATATGAAACTGAGCTTGTAAAATACATAATAAGGGCTACTAGTATGCAAGGTACACAATTAGGAAACTGTGACACAATTGTGAACAGGCGAAAATAATAATAATTAATGGCTGAATTCCATTTAGCTGCTTCAGTTTCAGGGTCTTGGTGCTGTGCATGCTGGTTCACTGTCACACTGTCATAGTTTACTATAGGGCCATTGTTAATGTTATTAGTAATGCCTGTTATTATACCATTATACCAAAATGTTTGATGTGAAAAAGTCTAATTACTCTGAGTCTGATGGATAGTCAGGGTTAATTTAAAGCTTGCAGATATCCCATGAAATGTCTCTTAAAACTTTCACATGCAGTCACGTCATGGCTAGTGATCTGAAATGACAGCACACGGCTCAGTCATAACTGGTATATAAGGCACACTGTCGACTACATCAGAAATCAAAAGTTTTCTAGTAGTTCACCATCATCAGCAGTCAGAGGTGGAGTGAATAACCAGCTGTCACAGGGAGCGTGTAATCAGGAGACTGCAGCAAGGCAAAGACCATGATTTGTAATTTATTATTATATTGTCTAAATATGGGGATAATGACACACATATTTAAACTGTCTGTCTCATGGTCATTTGTACACATTAGTAATGACATGAAATATTTGTGCCATGAATGAAAAAAGAACACTAGAGGGGGAGGTTTAAACCCGGGCCCTTGGCTTCCATTGTCAGTTTTGTTCCGAAGATGAGGGGGGAGGGGTTTTCTGAGGTTATTCAACCATCTGACGAGCGCTCCTAAAGAAGCATACTGGCTGCTTAACAACAAAAACATATCTTTACTGAATTGTGGGAAAAATTTAAACAAATCAGATTTTTATTTAAAAGTGATTCAAGCAGCAGCGTGTGGTAACTGCAATTTATTTTGGCAAATAAATACAAAACAGACATTCTGAACATAAAAATAACACTTTTCTGACATTATGGACTTCTTTACCCCCTCAGTTTAAAAAAAACAGACTGAAAGGTTTTACTGTAGGCAATCTCAGTGCTATAGTGGGCACCCTCTGCTATTACAGGCGTTGTTAGCAAGCCTTGACAGGGGTCCTTTGATGACCTGCAGTCACACACCAGCACCAGTGTGTAATTATAGCAGCTGCTTTTGACAGTTTAACTTAAGAAAACAGATTGCCAGATTAACAGTTGTGCTGCCATACATTGTGTTCATTATAAACATACACACAAATCCCAGTAAGCACACACACACGCACACACACACACTTCATAAAACCATAGCGATGTCTTCTTTAAATATCTCACTGTGTGCTCTCCTACTAGCATAACCTGCTTGCAGTGTCCTTTTGAACCGGGCAGAACCAAAGCAAGGTGTGAGCCAAACAAACCATCTGCGTGCCGTTAGATTCCACACACCTCTCCTCTGTGCTATGATCCTACTTTAGATCAGGCTACTACTCGGGTTCCTGCAAGACACCTACTGCGGGCTTCACATAGTCAGCACAATTTAAACATAATAATAATGTCGTATATACTGTACTGTGTAAAGAAAGGTATATACTGTACAAAACTATACAAAACTCAGAGCTCTTAACCTTTGTGTTATACTCTGGTCTGTGCCGCTGGATTTATAGTGTGAGGAAATGACGATGAACTGAAGCAGGGAAACACAACAGACACATAAACAGTAGCAAACTAATGTAACTAGATAAAGGTCATTTGAAATGAAAAACAATACAAGAAAGTTTTATGGAAAATGACACAGACAAAAAAACTCCTCTTGGAAATAGTAAGTCAAATGAGAAAGATTTCCAAATATTTCACAGCTTGGTCATATTACCTACAGACATTTACAACATTCACACCTGGATAGTAAAACAAGGATGTTTAGAAAGTTGGTGGACATCTAGTTCAGTTCATTTCAGGGATGAATTAACTGATGCTCCAAAACAAATGTTGTGTTACAAGCATAGCTAGTGTGTGTTAATCTCTTTTCTATCACTTCATACAATATATAGCAACAAACCAAACCCATATTCCCCTAAACACTGTAAGATATAACACAGTTTACTGAGCGTTGGTTTGTCTGTGCTATAATTTACAAAAGTGCTTTTATTTTTCACAACACTGTTTGAGGACAGAAAGAAAAATCTGTACTGTAATGCTTGATGATACCTGCATTTTAATTACATAAAGGTCTTTGTTTTTAATCTTGTCCTGTGTGTTTTTTCCCCATTATATTATCCTGAGTGTTAGAAAATGATCTTTCGAAGACGATCCACTTGTGATTTGGATTTTGTTCCATTCCCAAAATCCGCAGTTTTTTTTTTGATTCCATCAAGTAATTTATCAAGTCATCACCAGCCAACAGTCTTTAAAGTCACTGCTGAGTCATTGTGGAAAAAAGGACAAGGAAATCGAACACAGTATTGCTTCAATCGCTCTGGCTTTGGTGAGTCTTTCATTGGGTTTTTTACACCCGAACAAAAAGGGAGGCCATCTTGGAGGACAAACAGGACAGAAAAGGACAGAAGAACAGGTCTCCACCTCCTAGTGGTCTTTAGCGGATGACATGTTTCAGCCATGTGCACATGTTGCTGTCCTGTCTCCTGTGAATTGGTGGACCTTCACACCTGGGTGGATCTGACTCGCCGAAGAGGGTGTCGTCCTTTGGGGTGGGCAGGGCAGGGCCGGGGGCACTCAGAGGGCAGGTCTAGACTGCGCTGGTGAGGCAACGCCGTGAGGGGAGGACCACATCGGGAGGGGCGGGGGACAGGAGTGGCTGATGGTCATGTGATCTCAGAATACGGTAGCCCTGGAGCCTGGAGACATTTAAAAGCCGTAGAGAAGCAAGAAAGAAACAAGTGTAAAACATGTGAAAACACTTACAAAATTAGAACATGAGTGAATAGAGCAAATAAACTTGATCTGACTGAGACAGTAAGAAGCAAAAATACAAAATAATGATGCGTAGGTGAGAAAGAGTGCACACAACAAAGATATCATATAGAAACAAGAATCTAAGAAACATTCACATACAATGAGATGACTAAGGTGGAGACACAAAATGAGTAAGACAGCATCATCCACTATTAAATATACAGTAAGTATTTGGCTTACCAAAACCACTTAGTTAAACAAAATACATGTATTTTCTAGCAGTGTTAATCCAAAAGTGCCACAAGTGGCAACTGGACTTGCTTGAAATTCTTGAAGACATTTCACCTCATGTCTGAGAAGCTTCTTCAGCTGTGACAGACTGGTGGCGAGTCCCACGTGTTTAACCTATTTGGGGTCTTTAACGCCACTAAAATCACATCTGGGTTGTTCCTTATAAGAACATGAGTTGATAGGATTGCATAAATTGCCTGGGGCAGGATGTCAGGACTGCATTGTACTGTAAGTGGATGTTGTGGACCGTCTCATCTGTTTAGTGATGGTCACTCAAGTTTGGCATAAATGGCATCTTACATTGTTGTCTTCAAAGGAGTGTCCCTTGTCCTTTAGATGCAGGTGTACTGCTGAGTCTTGTCATGAGAATCCCTCAGTCCTCCAGAGGAATTATGACCTCAGGATCCAGATGTGACCTCAATGGCCCTCGAGGCACATTCCACAAAGGTTTAATACCTGCAGCTCCCCACCAGTCAGTCAGAACTGAAGAAGCTTCCCAGATGAGAGGTGAAAGATCTTCAAGAACCTCAAGCCTGTCACTCATAGCACTTTTGGATACACAGTACCATGACCAGGATGACGGAGAACCCCCACAGACTTTGATCACTGCTCTGTCCCCCAACCCTTACCTGGTGGCCACTTAACTTTTCAAGTGGACTCTCCACACGGGGCAGAGTGAGGAGAGGCAGCCCGACAGAAGGATCTGGACGCTGTGGAGGTGGAGGAGTCGGCAGTGCTATCTGGGTTGGCTGGAAATTGTTGATCACACATGACACCTGATAGAAAGCAAAGAAAAGATGTAAAAGAAAAATGGGAGAAATTCACACCGCTGCACTACAGAGATGGATTTCATGGTGCATGAAATTCTCAAAGTGTGCATGTAAATAAAGAACAAAGACAGAGTATGAGAGGGTGAAATAGAAATAAAAGAAAGAAGGAAAGAATTATGGGTGGAGGGAGGCATAGGAAAGAAGCTATAATCTTATAGATTTCTAGATGGTTTTCTTGAAATTTTAGGCCAAAGTGTCCAAGGCCAAATTATACAGTTTAAACATGCCTTGAGTTCCATCCATTCACACTCACTGATGTAAAACTGTGTGTTTTTTAACACACAGTCAATAAAATCCTTTCGCCTCCAGCTTGCCTTAATCATCATTCCATCCTCCCACCATCTCTTCTGCTCCCACGTTATGCCAATACTGCTCTTGCTTAGCATTTTTCTCCACTTAGCGTACTAATCCTTTCTCTAGTCTTTCCCTTCCTGCCTCTCTACCATTTGCCACCCATCTCTTCCTCCTCCCTCCATTCCCTCATCACCCCTCTCCTCCCACCCTCCTTTCCTTCTCACCAGGAAAGCAGAGATGGCCCCTCCGGTGACAAATCCGGCCAGGATGTCATTCCAGTGGTTCCTGTGTTCAGTCACCCTCACCACCCCCACCAGCACAGCTAGAGACAGGAGCACCAGGCACAGGGTAGGCTTGGTCAGACGGGACCCTTTGGTCCGGAACACTATGGTCACATACATCTGAGAGAAGAGAAATACAAGTGGAACACAAAAATGAAGTTGTTAATAGCGAGTGCAACTGGCTGATGAATCCACAGGCCTTTGGTGAGCCAGCTGTTCTACAACTTGAATAGCTAAGTAGGTTTAACAGCATGAATATGCCACAAGAGGCCGCACTCTGCAGTGATTTTATAGCAGCTGAGTGGGCAGATGAAGCACAGAAGAAAGCACCATAAAACACTGCCATGATTAGTTTAATGCCTCTACAAATGACAGGAGCATGGCACTGTAATTAAAACAATTGCTTTACAAATGTTTTTATCGGTAGTACTAAAATCATAACTGCATGTTTCAGTCAGACATTTACCAAGGGAAATTAAAAACTTTGTTAGTTAGGTATAGATCTTTTTAACTGCCTCCTGACGTTATCAGTAGTATACAGTATAGTTTATAAAAGTTTAATATCAGTTTTATATTGTTCCTTTGGTTCTGGGTTTTAAGGGCGCCTTATTAAAAAGTATTATTCAGTTGTTTTACTTCTGCTTTAGTAAAAATTTAGCAAATCAAAGTATGGCTAGAAGTACACTTTCCAGTTTTTGCTTGACCAGCAAAACAGTCAGGCCTCAACATACACAGTTACCCTGTTCTCTTTC